TTTGAATTTTGCTGTGCTCTAGACCATCTTCAACAGCAGACAGATTGTTATTGTTGGGTTTCACTATTTTTCCTTGGACGTTGCTTGGTGAAATGGGATCTTGGTTTGGTGCTGGTTCTTTTTTGCCTTTTTTTATCCTACTTTTGCTGGCCCGAGATATCTGCCAGTACAAGACCGTCATTATAATCACTGGTAGGTAGAAAGCTGCAATTGCTGTACCAAAAGTGACTGCTGCATTTGAGAAAAACTGGATATAGCATTCACCATCTGGAACAGTTCTTCCACCAACAATGAATTGCCAAAAGAGGATAGCAGGAGCCCAAAGGATGAAAGACAGCACCCAAGCGGCAGCAATCATCATGCCAGCCATTTTAGTGGTTCGCCTCACTGGATAGGTCAGTGGTTTAGTGACGCAGAAGTATCTATCAAAGCTTATAATTAGGAGATTCATGACTGAGGCATTGCTAACAACGTAATCCAGAGCTAGCCACAGATCGCAAACCACTGGACCTATTGGCCAGTAACCAATTACAGTGTACAGAGTGTATAAGTTCATGGAGAAGACTCCGATAATCAGATCAGCACAAGCCAAGCTGAATAGAAAATAATTGTTGACTGTCTGTAGGTGTCTATTAACCTTGATGGAGACCATTACTAGAATGTTTCCGATGATGGTCACCAGGCTGAGAGATCCAGCCACAATGACAATGAAGACCACTTCCACTGTTTTATATGGACTCCCCATCATTGTCTTATTTGCTGACGAAATGTTGGTTAGGCTTGAGTTATTCATGTCTGCGGCTGACAGCTAGTTGACTACTTTCTTGTTATCATTAAAATCTGCGGAAAAGAAAAAAAATATGTTACATATGAGAGCCAAAATCAGTAGCAAACATTATTCACAAAACACTAATTACAGAATACAGCAAAATATCAAAGCCAAACAGTAAAAAACACAAGTTTTGAGCTGATGTTTAATGAAACTTGGTGTGTATCCACCACCATTTTCATCTCATTGACACATTTTGTTAATGTTTTATTTTTTTAGAATAAATAGGATATAGCAATACAATGCTTGCATTTGCTTTTTACATTTGTGCCATTTATTTGTCCAGTGGTAGTTTCATTCTTATTCATTTAGTAGAAAAATACATATTATATCATGGGTTTTAAAATATAGTTATGGCTTTCTTTTTATACACTACACAAATATATAACTTTTAGCATGAAAAAAAAAATAGAAATGGGAACATCTTGAAAAAAAACATACATTTTTCACAGTAATACTTCTTATTACTTATATATTACACCACTAGTGCGGCACAAAGCATGTGAAAATAGCATTCGGTTTGGATTGATTTTGTTATCTCTTATTATTATTGCCATAAAATATATTATATAGCACCAACAGATTCCGTAGCGCTTTACAATATTATGAGAGGGGGGATTTAACTATAAATAGGTCAATTACAAGAAAACTTACAGGAACGATAGGTTGAAGAGGACCCTGCTCAAATTAGCTAACAGTCTATATGCCTGGGATTTTCACTTTTTTGCAGTTACACTTAGTGGAGTATCTTCTCATTTGAAAGTTAAACATTTTTTAGGTTGAGCATTTAATAGTTACTTAAAGGGGCACTCTAAATACCAAAACAACTTAGCTTAATTAAGTGATTTTGCTGTATAGATGATGCCCCTGCTGTCTCACAGTTCAATTATCTTAAGTTTATACAGCCCTAGGCACATATACTCCGACTGAGACTCACACAACCTCCTTAAATACTTCCTTATAAAACAGTCAATTTGTCAAAGCTTCCCTTATTGCACAATGTGTGCAATTTGCAATTCCTTCTTTCCTGCACCGTTAATTGCCTGCTAGAGCCTGCATCACCTGTGTATTATTAAAGTTCAATTAACAGAGCAGAAGATTCTAAATTACTAAACTACTAGAACTTATAAAGTACACCGTGTTGTAAAATCTGAAAATGAAACCATTTTTTTTCTTGGTGGCTGTGTATGTCACACAGATATAAACAAAAGCAACTTTACTCCTAAATAGCATACAATTGAGCAGTGAGACTACAGGGATATGATCTATGCAACAAAACGACTTCATTTTTATGTGGCCCTTAGAACGGGACCTTCCTTTCTCTCCCCATCCCTTTCCCTTTTCTTCTTCAACCATTTTCTTTTGTCTTTCTCTGTTTACTTCTTTGTTCCTTTCTCTTTTCTCCCTTCACTCTCAACGTTGTATTAATTAATGTTTATTAAAAAGGTGAGTCGTGGATAAATGTCAGTTGGCTACTAATATGCACTTTTTACTTCATGTTGTGATATTCACCAACACTGTCTTATGTATCATCCTTTCCTCTTAAATAAAAAAAATTTAAATCGCTTTATTAAGTTAGTTGTTTTGGTGGTTAGAATGTGTTTTTAATAGTGGCCGCCAAGCCAAAATGTTTAAACAAAAGTTTAGAAACTGATTCCCTGAGGTGTGTACCCATGGGATGTTGATGCTATTAATGCAATTCTTCTTTACCAGCCTTTCAGGTTTAGATTAAATGTCAAGTCTCAACATTATATTTTTTGCTGTGGACTCCATTAACCTGGACTCCTGATGATACAGTGGCAAATGGATTTTTTAAAAAAAAATTTTTAGGGAAGTTGGTTACCATATTTATCTCCAAGACCCAATCTCATTCTGTGAATTAGAGGGACACTTGGAACAATTAAAAATGTTATCCATCCTACTAAAGAAAGTTAGTTCTGACGTCCCATCACATCATTTGTGGTGAAAAAAGTTAATATCCTCTACTACTGTTTTGGTGACTCTACCAATTTATTTTTCTATCTATAATTCCATTTTTATTGCACTCATGCCGTTTTCATGCTCTCTGCCAATCATGATGTTATTTTGTTCTGCCAATCCCATTATGTGCTCTCAGAATGCCAAATGGTTTATTCTTTGTCCTATCTTCACACAGTGTGAATTGAATAAGGAATTCCACATTTCAAAGTAATTATTCAAACTGAAAACATTTTTAAAAACTCACTTGTTAATTTACCACAATCCCCATTTTAGTGAATGAACTCTAATGCTCTACATAGGCATGGAGAAGGGAAGATAGCTTCTGGACTCTTATAACAGTACAGTTGCAGGGTAGCATGATAGTTCGATTTGCTCTGCTAAAAACATTATTTTTAACGGGTTACTCCAAACACAAATGGTGGTTTAACCCCTTAAGGACGGAGGCAATTGTGCTAGTTCTTATCCAAACAAAACTTGGAATTTGAACTATGTATCTGTCCAACCATAATTTACCTGTTTCATAATAAGTACACCCACACTAATTATATATAATTTTGTTCAGGAGAAATATGGCTTCCATTACATGTCAAATATTTATATATGAAACATAATTTAATATGGATAAAATCTAAAAAGTTTTAGAAAATAAGAAATGTTATTTTCTTAGTTCTGCATGACATTTTAACTGTGAATGTCATAATACAGTTAGCTTTTACTGCATACACTAAAATACACAAATTTGTGTTAAGCGATGTCTCATAAGTAACAGTAACCCCATGTACCAGTTTTATGGGTTTTGGAAAGTTACAAGTTCAAATATTGGGCTTTTCCCCTTTTCAGTTTTTGCACATTTGCTAGTATGGTACATGCTAGCGGGTTGCTATGCCTTTGTGATTTAAGTGTATGTTATATAGCATCTATCACTGTTTTTTGTAGGATTGCAATATTGTTATTATTGTTACTTGTTTTTGTCTTATTTCTTTTGTGTATATAATAAAGCAATTTGACTTTAAAATCGCACCTTTTTAATTCACAGCCCTTTTCAAATGTATTTGCTATAGTCAATATTTTTAGTAGCCACTTAGTCACAAACCCTGGCCAAAGTTAGCGTTCATATTAGTTATTTGCATTTTTCACAAATAAACTGCCATAGATAGATTGATAGAAACATAGCTTTAAACCCTCTCTCTCTCTCTATATATATATATATATATCTCTAAGAGGGCTGCACTCATCTGAACATGCATACATTATAGGGTGCTGCTGGGGCCAAAAAATACAACATACAAAATACACAATCCAGCGCACTGATGTTCAGATGAGTGCAGCCCTCTTGGTTTCATTGATATAATTGGGAGCCCAAGCCAACTCCTTGGTTTTCCCTGTCACAGGTGCCTCATTCCAGAACCCTATTAAGCCTTGACTTGCAGAGAATCCCAGTAAGGAAGTATTTCCCAAGTAAGTGGATTAATCTCATAAGAGCAAGCATTAGTCTGCTAGAGTAGGACCTGCCAAAAATGGGGTACATTGACATTGTGACAGGCTTATGCAATATTTAATCATATAGTGTAACTAAACCCCCATTATTTTTTATCTAGGTGAGGTGTTTTTAAGTAAAACTATTACAATCTGTAAGATTTTAAATCATTGTTTAGTGAATAAGCGAGTGCGCTGGACTGTGTGTGTGTGTGTGTGTGTGTGTATCTATATATATATATATATAATTTCATTCTATCTGTGTTTTGATATTACTATATATATTAATATCAAAATACACTAATAATATATATATATATATATATATATATACACCTCCCCCCCACACACACATAGAAAACATAGAATGTGATGGCAGACAAGAAACATTCGGCCCATCTAGTCTGCCCAATTTTCTAAATTACATTAGTCCCTGGCCTTATATTATAGTTAGGATAGCCTCATAGGCCTATCCCATGCACGCTTAAACTCCTTTACTGTGTTAAACTCTACCACTTCAGCTGGAAGGCTTTTCCATCCATCCACTAGCATCTCAGTCAAGTAATACTTTCTGATATTATTTTTAAACCTTTGCCCCTCTAATTTAAGAATATGTCCTCTTATTGTTATTGTAGTTTTTCTTCTTTTAAATATAGTCTCCTTTACTGAATATTTGGGATGGTTAAAACCATAAATGACATTTGAGGACACCATGTACCAGGAGTGGGGTTTGAAGACATTTGTCCATTGGATCTTAAGTCCAACGCCTTAACCACTTGGCCATCCTCGTGCCACAAATACTTTAGCAGAGGATGGTTTTGATCCATAAACCTTTGGATTATGGGCCCAGCAAGCTTCTGCTGCGCCACTCTGCTGATGCTGCACACATGCGCACATTTCTTACATCAGTGCATTACGATACAGATAAAATTGTCAGCAGAGCAAAATAGGATTGTAACAGCAATTTCATGACACAGTCTCTTCAAAGTAAATAAGAAGAAGGAATCAATATCCTTGTACTGTTCTGTGAAAATTGTTAACAAATGTATAGAACAAAGAGCTTCACACCAGTCATGTCCTTTCCCTATCAATGGTCTTATTAGAAAAGAACTGAGCTATGTTTTGAATAACCTACAGACATTAAAATATTATTGTGGGCCACCGCTACAACTAAACGTTGCCTACAGTTAAAGAGATCTTATAGTCACCCATACCACTTCATGTCAGTGCAGTGCTCATTTTAACCTTTTATGGCTGTCAGTATAAAACATATCATAATACATGTAAATTATGTAAATATCACAATTTAATTTTTTCACTTATTCGTTCAGTCTTTAAAAAAGATAAAAATATTTGGGAAATGGAAAGCTTTAGACAGTATGCAGTGTCCTTTATCATACAATATTTCACACAGGGTCTGAAATGTTAGTATTAAAGAAAAATCTAATGCTTCTCACATACAGTAGATGTGACACAATTATATCAGTGACTATTGGCATCTGGCAGAGAAATCTGTTCTTCTACAGGCTGATAATCATAACCAGAGAATAAAGGACGGTGAGTGAGGCTTCATGAACTAGATTTCATCCTCAACATATATGAAAATAAAAACAGGTAGTAAAGTGGTTAAGAACTTAAAAATTATTTTGGTATTTTGGAGTTGGTGTTGTACAAAATAGCTAAATGTATTACAAAGTTGAAGTCACCTTTACTGAAGGGAATGTTCCAATTTAGGTTCACGAGTGTATTCTGGCTCTCTGGGATGTGTGTCTATGAGTGGTGTGAACTGGCTGTATGTGATGTGTGTGTCCTGGCTGTATGTTATGTGTGTGAACCTGCTGTAGGTGATGTGTGTACACTGACTGTATGTAAAGTGTGTGCTGACTGTATGTGGTTGTAGTTATGTGGTTCTGATAGACTGATACTAACAAACAGTGACACACACACATTGACCTATACACAAACACACTGCACACTGACACACACTAACACTGACAAACACACAAACACACACACTGACCCATACAGAAAAACACTGACACACACAATGACCTATAGTGTGTTTGTGTATGGGTGTTTGTGAGTGTATGTATGACCCATATACACACACTGGCACACACCCACACTGACCCATACACAAACACACTGGACACTGACAAACACTGACCTATACATAAACACACTGCCACACATTGACGCATACACAAACACACTGACACACACAATATTTTCTTTTTATTAAGAACTCTTGCAACACAAATGATAAAATACCAGTTATGATAAAAATTAAAACATTAAAAAAATCTCTCCTCTAAATTCATATTAAGAGTTTAAATTCTCATTAAGAGCTTAAATTCACCTACTGAACTTGATAATAATTATGTACCAAACTGTTGTATTTTTCATAGGTATTTTTATGTCGAATGGCTATAACATGAATCATGAATTGTCAGGAACTGAGTAACTTTCAATCTTCAGCTAAGTTTTCAGTTTAGCTAATTTGGCTAACATCTAAAAATGACTTATTCCCCAACAATTCACATTTTAGTGAATAAGCTTGGTGGGTATTACATTAATCAGCAAACTATGTCTAGTTGATAAGTGGCCTGAAAACAAAAAAAAATATTGTTGGAAGAATTATTCACATTTTTGAGATGGAGCATTGGTGGTTTACACTTAATTTTGCAAGTTGGTTCTTAAATCACCACAACTCTAAGTTCAGTACATAAAGAGACTGTCTTAACAACTTAACAATAGAAACATAGAAACATAGAATGTGACGGCAGATAAGAACCATTCGGTCCATCTAGTCTGCCCAATTTTCTAAATACTTTCATTAGTCCCTAGTCTTATCTTATAGTTAGGATAGCCTTATGCCTATCTCACGCATGCTTAAACTCCTTTACTGTAACAATGAAGCTACATTGAAGTAATGCTTGGAAACCCCTAATGGTTCTGGTTGCCAGAGGCCGGCTGGTATTTTTAAGGCAGGGAGCAAGTCTTTGCCAAATGAACCAGTAATAAAACAGCCAAAAGATCAGTTTTGACCAAAACTAATCATTCTTCTCATTAGTTGTTGAACTGCAGGGAAAGTATCCTGCTTGGACAGTGCTTGAAAATGTATCCGTTAGCTTAAAAATGACATTAGCCAAGAATGCCACAATCCCATGCCATTATGCCAGCCTGCCTCCACTGATAAGGTTTAAATAGAACTCGTAAGCAACATGACCACTAAAGATTATTGTAGTAGTCATGCAAGCAGTAATATTAAGCTGTTTCTAAGATGTTTGTGAAAAATTTGACTTTCCCCAGCACCCAAAGCCAAGGACACAATGCGGTGTAACTTGGAGTTCTGCAAGGCTGAACAAGTTACAGAATTTGGCTGAATCCTGTTGACCTGTTGTATTGGCCAGATACTAAAGTTGTAAAGCTTTCTCGAATAGGTGAAAGGGGTTGACTTTGGTGCTGTGGGGACCTCCACTTTTTTTCAAACCTCTTAAAAGCAGTGTGTGACAAATCAAAGAGGCAACACTAAATGAGTTGTGTTGTGGTTATGCTGCTTGGAGTGTCCCCAAAACAAAAAGTATTGAAAGTATTCTACCAATAAAAATGGATGATAAAAATATGAAAATAGTTAAGTATGAAATCCGGGTTTCGTTTGACTTGATGCATTATAAAATCCTGTTCCCTTATGCAGCGCGGAGAAAAATTGGTGAACGCGCAGCTAACAATATATTAACTTCTCTTTATAAGTGAATAGAAGTAAATGCATTGCTAACTGTCCGCTACCTTATTGTTCCACATTCTCTCCGTTTATATCGTGGGAGCAACATCTTCAGTTCCATTTCCTGTTAAAAATTCTAGGAGTTAGATTAAAGTTAGATTAGAGAAACTGGAGGAAATTTACCAGACGTGAGCTGAAAAGTGGTGCAATGCTGTAAAAGTGGAGAAATCACCACTGGAATTGATTATAATGGCTTCTGTGGTAATTGCCCCATTTTTAAAACATTGCAGCGCCTTTCAAATCATAATATTTTGATAAATTCCCCCCCGTTGTTTTAAAAGCTTAAGTCCCAATGCAAACTAATCAACAAATGCATTGTCTTAACTCAATTTGGCAAATATTGAATTCAATGTTTATTTTAACTTGCGTAGAAGGCATTTTTGTTTATATTTGATGAAAACAAATGTATCATCTGTCTCTTTCACTATAGATCCCTACCTGTTCTGTCCATCTGTCTGTCAGTTTAATGGGCTGTCTGTATTCCGTACAGAACATGACATCAGTCATCTCTTCAGAAGGAAAACGCAAGGGAAAATAAATTCAATGGACTGTGAAGTTGTCTCCGACTTTCAATAAAAGAAAGACCTCTAGGCCATATCTAATGCCTGCTTTGCCCTGGGCTAAAATGTTTTTTTGGTCTCCAACCTTTTATTTATTTGAACAGTTTGTGATTACCATGTCAAGAAAAGGCTAACATACTTCAAACTTCAGAACAGTCTGTGCAATTTAAAAAATATTTTCTGTATGTTTTGCTCCCTGGTCTGTCTCTAACAGCTTATGATTTAATTTCTGATCAAATTCCCCAGGTGGATAACATCATTAACAGGTAAGCATTAGGATAAAGAGTGATCTGCAGGACCTTAAATGTGTTTGGGCACAAAAACAGGCCCTGGATTAAAATATCATATGGTACTTTTATAAAAGCATAGGGGAGATATAAAGATCCAGATCTCTTTGGAACTCTGTATGGCATTCTCCCATATTGGCACCAGATAATATTGCTACTGCACAGGGCTCAGTGAGCCTTTGGAGAAATGCTTGTTACTGCTCTGAATTGCCTATTGGAAAATTAAAATAGGACATGGCGAGTTCTGGTGCTTGCCTCCAATAAAAAGCTCCTGCCACAGGTCTGAATAGCTAATGGAAGTGAGTGGTAATCTCCCTGTGTGTCAGGTATTGTGACGCAAATTTATAAGTGATTTCTATTGAAACTGTCACTCTAATATGCAGAATAAAAAAATGACTAGACAGGACAAATATAGCATTTCTGCAAAGGTAAGAGCTTTATGTGTCTACCAGACAGCCACTAGAGGCACTTCCTGCAGTTTTACGGAGTTTGACTCCATGAAATGACGCTGGACGTCCTCGTGCTGTGCATGAGGAGATCCAGCATCAAGCAAAACTCCATAGGAGAGCATTGATTCAATGCTTTCCTATGGGGAAGGCTTAATGCACGTATGGTGCTCTATGCACATATGGTTTATGTTTCCCCATCGCCTGACATCGGCAATGGAGGAGCAAGACCAAGGGCAGAGGGGCCTTGGAATCAGGTAAGCGACTGAAATAGTTTTTTTTTATCCCTTTCATGGATGATGGGAAAGAAGGGGGGGGCGGGGGCACTAAAACAAAAGTGTTCCTTTAAGGTTTTTATTCAAGCCCGACTATAAACCATATTCTAAAATATTACAATAAGCATAAATATATGCCTTTTAAATTGTGTCCTGGGGAAGCTTGGTCTACTGGACAGCAACACCAAGTGCTGCCCTTCAGGGTATTTTATAACAGACAATGACTTACAAGTAAGCCATTTGGAAGCTGGGTTTGGGAATGGAAGCCCATACTAATGCATGAACTGCTTTTGTTTTATACCATATATTCCGAATTCCTACAAGATACTAACTTGAACAAATAATTTCGATCATCTTGATTTTGTTGTCAAATGATGAGTATGAGTTTTTGCAGTAGTGTATTGGTGAGTGGGATGTTTGTGTTGTCATTAAACTGTG